TTCAACTCTGTTTCTGGGCTTTGAGGGAGATGCAAGTGATCCTAACAACAAGGACATAACTAACTGTTGTCCTTTCATTAAAAGAAAAAACCCTCTATTACTCAAAAGTCAAATTATTGTTAGAAACCCATAATGACTAAATAAAAACAGCCACCAGAATCTGAGCAGGGCAGACATCAACTTGGGAGGACGGCCCTCAGGACAAACTAGTTCCAGCTCTGTCTAAAATAACATCTTTGGAGAGCTGGTGTTCCAAGCCAGGTCCCACAGTCCCGTTTCAACGGTGTTCATGACACATCCTGAAACACGGATTCACTCCCAGAGCTGCCCTGACAAGTTTCCAGAAGTGCCTCAGAACTTCCCCGGCAGGGCATCAGGATGGGGGTTCCAAAGGGTTTAGGGCAAAATGAACAGGATTCAGGCATCTGTGAAACATCTCAAAATGTGATGAAGAACGGGTTTTCAGCTGGTGCTATTTTAGCTATTTTCAAGCTGAAGCTTCCCATCCAGAAGCTTCTCATGGGAACAAAGGACTGTCCCATGCCACTTGCCTGCTGATTCCCATTGTCATGAGTCTCATGAGAGTTCTCATTTTTCTTGACAAGCTGGCATCAGGAAGCAGGGCAGGGTCTCAGTTTCCATTCTTAAATCCCTTGTATGCGATGTAAACACCTCCTTAAAAATCAGGAAAACAAGCAAACAACCCAAAAGCCCCAAAAGAGCTCCTCTGCCTGGATCAGAACGGAAATGTCTTTCCCCTTGCTTTCCAAAGCTGATTTCCCCCCCCAGTTTTGCAGGGAGTGGCTCACAAGGGTTAAACAGTACTGCAGACCCTAATGCTAAACAAGAGCTGTGGTTGTGAATTCTCATTGCTGGCAAACTACAACAGCTCAGGTAGACCAAACTAAATATCAGAATCCACAGACAGCTGAAGAAAAGAAATGCACTTTTCTGCGTCGATGACACCGAACATTTCATTAGGAAGGACTAGGGAGGAGGGAGAAGAGAAGGGAATTTCCATTGAGAGTGCCAAAGATCTAATTAATGCCCTGTCATGAAGCATTTATACCCAATGAAATTCATTTCTACTCTGAGAGCCGGCACAAAGTTACGTCTCACTGAAGCTGCAGTTCACCAGCAGAAGGAATGAATTTCCTTTAAAGAACGATGTTCCGGATTCCTGGACGAGACACTCAGCAGTGAATGGAGCACTGTGCAGTAGAGCCTCAGCAGCCTCAAAGTGAGTTTTGCTGTGACCTAACAGAAACCACAGACTTGAAATTGTGATGATTCAGAAATTTTCAGCTCGCAACAGGAGTTCTTGCAAAATATTTGGGAACTGCAGGAAGCGTTTAATGGTCTCCCTTTGTCAAGGAGAGGAATCCTGACCTCTTCTCTTTACGACTCTTGTTCCTTATAAGTGATAATTTTAGAAGGAGATGATTAAGCCCACGTGGCCTTTTTTCTGAGGTTCCTTCTAGAATAACAAGTGACCTGGCGTGGTCCTTTCTGTGCTGATTCATCTTCCCTCTTTGCTGTTGGAATTTGCAGAGGAATGGCTATGGGGACAGACCGTGCTCCCAGTCATACGTGTGGCTCCCCATGAGCGTGTGCAGTAAAGGAAATCAAGTCGACCCAGTGGAGAGGTTTATCTGCAAAGCAATTCAATGGAGCAACAAAAGTCAGGAGAACCTTATAAGGGCATGTGCCTTTTCTAGCCAAGAGCCAAAAAGGTAGGATTTCAGTAGGAAAAAAATCTGAATAGACCAAGAATATGAATCAGAATAGCCATGGCTAAAGCAGAGGTTTGGGACATTCCTAATCCTTATTTGGATGAGGAAACCATGGATGGGTGGTTTATGAATTCAAACTGATGTCATCCGAAGGAAGACTTCAGGTGACTCTTCCTTTCATTTCCTGTTGGCTCGAGGGATGCACTGACAGCAGGACAGACAAGGAGTTCCATCCATTTCCCAAAATAAATAAGGGACATCTCACAAAGGCTAACAGCATGCAATATAAAAATCACTGCATGTTTGTGTCAGAATTACTGTCAGAGATTCCTTTAGAAGTGAAACCAGGCTGCTCCAAATTGTCTTGAAATACGACTCCTAAGACTCTTTCTGGCTACTAATAAATGATGGCTATGCAAGAAACTAATTTGAAAATCATTGAAAATTGTAATTTTGTTTTGTGTGTTTCCAGTAATGTTTTCTTAAACAAGAATCTTACATTTGTCCCTGTATTTGTGTAACTAATGCTGTGGAGAGAATTAGACACAGTCACGCTCTTGTTGACAGTCTTTTCTCATTCAGTTTTCAAACTGAATTCCGTTTTCAGTTTTGTGTAAATACTTATACTGCCCTTGAAGACCTCAGAGCAGTGCAAAATGACATGAACGGGACTTAAAGCAGACAGAAATGAGGTCATTGTTGATAATTTAACTTTCGTGGGGACGACACCTGGGATACGAACCTTCTAAATGCCATTTGCAAATAGTCACTAAAAGCAGAGGTTTCTTCCTCATGTTTGCTTATTCCACCACAGCCTGTTCCTTATGGATTACCTGTACTTAGCATTTACATTTAAGTAGGTTTTCCCTGGCAAATTTGATGTATCCTAATCCTCTTGTCCTTGAAGACTTCTCATTACCCTTTCCATGTCAGTTGGGCTCAATTAGCAGCCAGTAGCAGCAGTAGGACCTGTTCACATACTCACTGGATCTCTACACAGTAACTGGAAAAATGACCTCAAATTGCCTCCTCACTGCACATATATGTTTCCTGGAAGGAAAACTCTTCTTTCCCAATGATTTCCACACGGTAATGCTTCCTTTGGAGCGGGCAAGGTAAAGTACATCCAACGGTCACATAGAAACATTTTCTGACAATGTGCTTTTCACCTGGCTTTTATCAGAGAATTCCAGCTATGTTGTGAGCTGGAATGTGAGGCTGACACTTCATAGCTCAGGTCTCAGAAAAGCAGGAACACTTTCTGAAAGCAGGTTCTCATTTCAACAAACTGGGTATTTGCTAGTTTATGATGACATGTCCTCCTTCAAAAGCTAATGCTCCCTCTCACTGTGGCCACGTTAGTTCTGTGATTATTTTGAGGGATAACATGTGTCCAGTAACTCAAAAGAAAAAAAAACGGAAAAAAAAAAGGCAGCGCGGTGGATCTAAAAATAAAAATTAGGAAAGGTGGGAATTAGCTCACCACAGCTCACCTCAATTGCCAGGTCAGGTTTCAATTTCCAGTAAGTTTTCATCAGGGAAGCTTGTGTTAATGTATCTGTGGGCACTCCTCACACAGAGGAAAAGAAATTTCTTTGCAAACAGACACCTGACGTCACAACTCCGCGCTTTCCTGGAACAGAGCTCGTACTGGATCCACACTCTGCCTGCTGAAACAGTCTTCATCCCCCGTGAGATACTACTGCTTGCATTCCAGTAAAGATGACACGGTGGGTTTGCAGTAAGTGGAATCAACAACTTGTTCATGCCTAACATGCTGAAGAACTCTTATGGAGACCTGTGAAAGGTCAGCTTAAGATGTTTGGATATACTGTCAACTACTTCACACTCGGGTTTTTCTGAAGAGTTGCTTTAATACATCAGGAACCACAGCAGAGTTTTCAGATTAATAATCCCCTTGCCAAGACAGAGTGTGCTAGAGAGGCATGAAAATGGTCAGCAACACAACCCTCCTGTATGATCTGAACTTAGTGCTGGTCCAGGGGCTGCACCAGAATGGGATGTGCACTGTGCTTTGCTCAGTGGCAGCTTGAGAGCCACAATTACTGTGCACACTCTCTGCTTTGCTGTATTCCTTCCAACTAGGGAAAAGAGAGCCCCCCAAAACAGCAGAAATGGCTATGGGAAGACAGATTGAAGAGGCTGACAAAATTTGTATACAGCAGAGTTACATTAGCTCAACACACTGAAGAACCTTTCTACATAATAAAGGTTAAACACCTAGCATTTCTTTTTTCAGTTTTCTTTTGTTCTCAAAGTTGACTTTGGACAGCAAGAAATAAAGTCAGAGAAAGAGGGTATTAAATTCATTTTGAATGGAATGCAATTGCACCGTTCTTTCCAAGTGAGGTGTGAAAGCTTTTAACCTTGAGTCCCCAGCAGTAGATAAAACATCTATTTCCAGCCCGTATGTTACACCTCACCTTCTGCTCTGTGCAGAACATTATTCCTCCTGCACGGAGCAGTATCCGCTTACAGGCAGCGCTGCTCAGAGGAAAAAAGAAAAGTTTGCCTCTCCTTCCCCCCAAAAAAGGCCATTTTGTTCAGCCAGATGTTGTACAAAATGGCACGGCCGCTCTGCTCGAGGGGGGACGGGCCTCCCACCCCAGCGAGCCCGGCGGGGCGGTGGCGGCCCCCGCCCGGCCCCCGGCGGCGCCGAGGCCAATGGGCGGCGGGGCGGCGGCGGCCGCCTCCCCCCGCCCAGCCCGCCCTATATAGCGCCCGGGCGGCGCCGCCGTCCCGTCCGTCGGGCTGTCCGTGCCGAGCCGAGCCGTGCCGAGCCCAGCCGTGCCAGGATGCCGGGCCGCACCGTGTGGCGGCTGGCGCTGCTCGCCCTCTGCCTGGGGGCCGCGGCGGCGGGGGGACATCGCCGCGGAGCCGGCGGCAAGAGCCGGCGGCAGGCGCAGACCCAAACCACGTCGGTGCCGCAGGGCACCCCCGCGCAGGGCAAGCGTGAGTACCGCCCGCGGATAGGGCAGGGCGAGGGCCGTGCCACGGGAGCTCCGCTGGCCCCGGGGGGCTTCGTGTGCCCCCCGCGCTCGCCCTGGGTCGCCCCTCGGCTCGGCGGGACCCGCACACGTGTGCGCTCCGCGCCCCTTCCCTCCCGGCTGCTGCCCTCGGTAACGCCGAACTTTGCCTTCTCTTCCCCCTCTGCATCTCCCTCCTCCTCCTCCTCCTCTCCCCCCAGAGACCTGCTATGACAATGGAAGGTACTATCAGATAAACCAGCAGTGGGAGCGCACCTACCTGGGAAACACGCTGGTCTGTACCTGCTACGGTGGGAGCCGAGGGTTCAACTGCGAGAGCAAGCCCGAACGTAAGTTGGTGGCCCCTTTTGTCTGCATCGAGACCCCGGCATGGCTTTTGGTGCCGAGTAAGCTAAGCCTTGTACGAGTTAGAGCTGGCAGCCTGGGTTTTCCGCTGAAGTTTGGTGCTTAGGGTCAGTAATGGGATCTACACTCAATTACACTGAAGATCTGGCTTGGGATTTTGAGAAATGCTTTTCATTAGTGATGGGCCTGCCACCAGAATCCTGAGCCAAACATCACTCATCTCTGTGGAGGATTGGATCTAAACATTAATTCTGGAGCCAAACCTCTTCTTTATAATGAACTGAACTGACTCCTGGACTCGCACGGGGAAGTTCAAATCTGGAGTCACTTTGCAGCTCTGGCTCTGCGCTGTTTGATTGCTTCACCCCAACTTTTCATAGCTGTGCGGTGTCGTCAGCTTGTTTAAAAATATTTCAACTTACAACTTTCCACAGCCCCCCGGCCGTGCTGTGAGCTTTCTATAATTGAGTGTAAAATGAGATTGTTTAGTCTGTGCAGAAAAAGTTTAGGTAACAGAAAGAAGTTGAAATGCGAGGTCTGCTGGAGGATGCGTCTCTCCAGGATACAGTGTAGTTCAGATTATCAGATGCAATCTATCTGTATTTATTGGTCTGAAGCCACTGGTTTGCTATAATTCCTTTATGGTGCTCTGGAGATAGAAGACTGAAAAACTGGTTCCTGGCTGATAGTGTTCTTATAAGACAGATGGGAGCGTCCCAGCCATCTGTTTTGCAAGGCTCGTGTGCTGCCTGCCTCAGGGCTAGAGTGTTTTAAGGAGTACTCAGTCCCCTTACTCCTCCATAAAAGGGGATTCAATCTACCTTTCCTTCCTCTGCAAAGATTCCCAAGTTTTAGAGTTTCAAAGTCCAATAGCAAGTTTCTCTTTATGACACAGTGAACTTTATCTGTCCAGCAGTGAAGAAATTTGAGCTGTTGCAGATCTTGAGTTTAGTGGCAGCACTGACATTCTGTAGTCACTTACTCATGCACAAGTGTGAACAATTCACAAGTAGTGAACTTTGCTGTTGACTTTGGTGGGACTGCTGCAGAATTTGGGATTAATACACTCAATTTTTGCCAAGTCAGAACAAAGAGGATTAGCATGACAAAGCACACAGCTTCCAGGGGATGTTTGCTCCCTCCTGTCTTCTGTACTGTTGGCTTCAAACAGCTGGGATTGATCCTTTCAGGCATTCCTGTGATGTGCCATGCAGCAACTTCTGGCTCACTGGGGGAGGGAAGAAGAGGTTATTCAGCATCATGGGGACCTTGAGGAGGCAAATTTCACCCAACTTCCTCTGTGCTGCTTCATCCCAGGAAGGAAAAGGAGACTGATAGGTGTTTTTCCCCAGGAAAAAAGGAGTATCTGTGTGTGGAGGCGAAGAATGTGTGTTGCTGTTGACTGTACATGTTACTGGTGTGGTTACATGAAGTTGATTTTTTTTTCCCCCCTCATAGCTGAAGAGACTTGCTTTGACAAATACACGGGATCCACTTACCGAGTAGGGGAGACCTATGAGCGCCCCAAGGACTCCATGATCTGGGACTGTACTTGCATTGGAGCTGGACGTGGGAGAATCAGCTGCACCATTGCCAGTATGTAACTAAAAGCCTATTACTAGAGATATTGTTCCTTGGTGTCATATTTTCCAGAGCAATTTACACAATATTCCCAATGCCTATTAGCTGGAAAGTTGCAGGGGAGGTTGATCCAAAGCCCGCCAAAATTTTGGAGTTGAAAGTCCTTGCCTCATGTACATACACTTGCACAAGCAAATTCCTCTTTTAAGAAGTCAAGTGCTATGTGTAAAAACATAGACCAAATTTTACTGTTGGTGTCCAGCCATACAGGTTAGTACATTTACTATATACAAGAGTGTGTTGCATCTCCACAGGCACACTTTTGAAAGTAGTTTTTCTGACTGGAAAAAAGAATGAGTGTCTGCTCTGCAGCTGGTGAGTCAAAATAACGCCATCAGCATTAATGGGACTACTCAGAATACATGATAATAAATAAATGCCCTGAGAGTCAGTCCTCCATCCTCCAAAAATGTCATCCAACACTTGTCCATAAGGGAACTGGGATTGGATATCCAGACAGCAGCTTAATGTGTTTCTGCAACTCCTTTTTCACTACCCTGAGCCATACTTTCCTTTTGATCTCGCCTTACTTCCCTTGGTCCTTTCTCCCCAGCTCCCCTTTCACGTCTCTGTCTGGAAATCCTTTCCTTATTGAGTCACTGAATTGTTCACAATTTCCCTTCAGTTCATAATTACACTTTCTATGAGCACAGATGAAGATCACTGTGTCAGGACTTCTAGACTGAGATTTCAAAGTCTCTGAGGCACCTTTTGAAAAAAGTCTTGTTCTTAAAAGTATCCAGTTTCTTGTTTAAGACACACATACTGATCCTATAATAGTGTTGCCACAGAGGACTCGAAAAACCAGCCATCATTGTAGCATGTGAAAAAAATAATGCATTGAATCTAACAAGTAGAGTGGAGCCCTTCTGAATTTAATGGCGTTTTATTGAGCAGGGATGATAAGTGTTGTAAGAAAAGAAAGAGTCAGTAAGGAAATTGCAAACAAAAGAGCAGTCTCGTTTCCTCATCATCAGCCTGGTTTAGGGCTCACTGGAGAGTCTCACTGACTGCAACTGGCTTTGAATCAATCTTCAGAGCTCCTAGATTCCCTGCTTTCATAAATGAGCCTACAGAACATTTAGTGGCTCCTAATAAAGGATGGGATGTGGGTTTTTTCCTTTTTTTTTTTTTTCATTTCTGTGGAAGAAGACCCTGTGTTTGCAAACGGCCCTCACCGTGTTTCCCTCCCTCACACCAAGCACCTGCTTATACTCCACATGACGGCCTGGCCACCATGTCCCTCATGGATGGCCACAGAGAAGCCTGAGTGGCATCACTGCTAATAAGATGGAGGCAAACCCTTCCTCACCAGCCTGAGAGAGGGGTGTGAGGGAGAAACAGCACCTCCTCAGGTCCCAACATTCCCCTTTCACCAGCCAGGCCTTGGCTGTGGTTTGGAGCATGGAGGGGGTTAGCTGAAAGGAGAGAACAGGGTCTGGGAGGCAAAGAAAATGGCGGTGCCTGTGGAAAATGGCGAGTGCCGTTTTATAGGGTGATAGAGGAGGCAACCACAGCCTGTCCACCTCCTTCTCACTGCCCCACTCCTCCTTGCCTCCCTCCAGCCCAGCTGCCCCTGCCCAGGTGGCCCTTACCTTGTCCCTGCCATGCTGTCCCTGGCGTGTCCCTCACCTCAGCTCCCCTCTCTCCCTCCACAGATCGCTGCCATGAGGGCGGCCAGTCCTACAAGATTGGCGATACCTGGCGCCGGCCCCACGAGACAGGCGGATACATGTTGGAGTGTGTGTGCCTGGGCAATGGGAAGGGCGAGTGGACCTGCAAGCCTGTGGGTGAGTGGCTGCTCCTTCCTTCTCCCTCAGCACAGTCAGGGTGTGTGGCCCCTTCCTCCTTCCCTGAGGCATCCCCATGTGGGAATGCCCTGGGTGGGCTCTGATCCCCTTCCCTCTCATAGCTGAGCGATGCTACGACAACACGGCCGGGACATCCTATGTGGTGGGAGAGACGTGGGAGAAGCCCTATCAGGGCTGGATGATGGTGGACTGCACCTGCCTGGGTGAGGGCAGTGGCCGCATCACCTGCACCTCCAGAAGTAAGTGCCAGCCTGACAACTGCCAGCTGCTCCATTTTATTTATTTATTTTTCATTTATTTTCTTATTTATTTTTGTCCTGCTACCTTTGTCTGTCCTGTGCAAGTGACAGTAGTTTTAGAGGGATGGCCACCCCTTGAGAAGTGGCAGGGAACAGACCCTTCTGAGGGCAGAGGGGAGTGTGTGGTGCCCCACTCACCATTTGGAGTCTGGGAATATACCTCAGAGCTGGTGATCAGTGCTGGTGACAGGGTGGCTGGATTATTTGGGTGTTTAATCTCATTTAGAGGGAAACGTTTAAGGAACGTGTGTGTCAGCTGAGTTGCAGTCAGGCATCTCCCAGGAAGTTGGGCAAACCACAAAATGGCAGAGGGTTTACCTGGTAGCTCCATTTCTGTGTTTTTAAGGAGCCTCCTGAGGGACAATTAGGTACTTTTAAAGATTCCATTCCTGTTCCATCAGCACAATCTGCCAGATTAAAATAGTGTATTTTTTTCTCTATTACTGTTTGATTCGTGTTAGCTAAACCAGGGTTTGTTTTGTCTGCCCTACCCTTTCATCTGTCAGTTCTCCTCCCTCCCCTGTTTGCATCACAGGTGATTTCCCCCCCCCCCCAGTTTTTGCATCACTGAGGGACATCACTGTAAATATTCCATTATATTTGTATTTGCAAAGCAAACAGGGCTTTTAAAATCCAAAATCTTGCTTGTTTATTGACCTTCTGTTCCAGTTCTGTTAGGAGCAAGCTCTGTGGTGGAGCTATCTCTGTTTTATACCAGTTGTCTCAAGAAAATTTAACTTTGTACCTTATACCTTGGTTATGCAAAGTTTGAGAAACTCCTCTGTAGCCTTTCAATTGCCTCATATTCAGTTGCCTCAAGGTACACAAATAATGGCTTTCTGCTGATATAAACAGCAGACCTGTAAAGAACTAAAACACTGAGGAGGGTTGGGATTAATACTGAAGATCTGGAGAGACCTGGTCAAGAAATAAGCTATAAAAATCAAACCAGCCTTGACAATATTAAATCTGTTAAAAACACATGGGGAAAAAATCATTAACTGTCAAATGGGAATGAATAAAACAGAATGTGTTGTTTGTGAATTTTGGAGGAGTTATTATTACTAATAAAATGTATTTGGCAGTAGCTTTCTTCCCATAACTCAGGTCTACCCTGTTGTATTGTAGGGGAAATTGCAATATAATGACCTGTTCGTTTTTCATTTTGTTTTCCAATGGCAATCAAATAGAGAAATTCAAATTTATGTGTGTAAAATGATACCTGTAGCCCACAAAGTGGCATTACACTTCAGTGTGTGCTGCTGCTGTTTATCTTTTATGGCCAGCATTTTCCGGAATCACAGCTGGTTTCTTGGGAGACATTTCAGCTTTTCATTGTCTAACTTGAGAAGAGTGTCCTTAAGACAGGTTTTTTTTCACATTTGCTAAGTGACATCGTGAGGAATATCTGAATAAATGAAATTGGTGAGGAATACCTCACCAATTTACCATTCCTCTGGCAAATACTCAATTTTTGGTCACTTTAGCACTGCAAATTACTAACATATTTTCTACATTCATATTCTGTCCCATGTGCTCTCTCAGCAATCTGGCTTAATGCATACATCCTTCCACAGTTCTTCATAAATCCATGTTCATTGATCCATGATTATATTTGAGCCACTGTATCAAGTTTCCCTTGAAGGAGTAGGTAAAATGTTGTAATGGAAGAAGAACTAGTTAATCCATGTGGATCTGGCATCCAGACAAAAGTAGTTTGTTACACTGTCCTTTGAACCCATTTACTCAATTCATTGGGGGCTGTGGGTTATTAGAGACAACAGGAAGATTTAGAAAGTCTAGTATTCTGGTGTGGCATGAGCAGCTTATATTAACCTGACTTCAGCTTCATGCATACTTCTTTTGGAAGAAATGGAATTTAACATACTACCCTCAAACAGGTTTTAGTTTCTTCCAGCTGAAAGGGAGCCCTGAACAGTGTATAGTGTGAAATGACCTGGCTAAAAGATTTCTATTTTCAAAAACAACAACACAAAAAGGGCATTAAAGCAAGTTTAGGCTTTAAAGGTGTATGCTAGACAGAATGGGTTTAAAATGGCTTTTAAATAACTATCAGGAATGTTTTCAATATAGACCATGGTTTTTCACATTGAATTTGAACACAGCTTACCATGTTCTCACTGGGAATGTTATGATGCTCATTTTGACAATGACTACAAAGTGAAAGTGCAGTTCTGGAAATAAATTGGAAATTTCCCTTAGGCTAAAGCACCAGGATTTTCAGATGCTCTCAGCCTGTGCAGTTTAGTGCAGGCTTTAGTGCATCCAGGGCTCGTAATAGAGGGCTACAGAAAATGCAGTGGGTTTTTATGAACTCCCACTTGTTTGATAGCGTCGGTGGTTCAGTGCTAGAAACTGCCTGGCGAAGCCATCCCGTGCAGACACAGCTAACAGGCATGTTCCTTACACAGATCGGTGCAATGACCATGACACCAAGACTTCCTACAGAATTGGGGACAACTGGAGCAAGAAGGATAACCGTGGAAACCTCCTTCAGTGCGTCTGCACCGGGAATGGCAGAGGGGAATGGAAATGCGAAAGACACACGTCCCTGCACACAACCAGCACTGGTAAGTGGGGCATCATGGCGTGTAATGTAGGGAAAGGGACAGGGAATGGCACTTTTTGAATGGCTAGGACCTGGAGCTGAGTTGTTCCATCCTAATTTAGGTATGTAATTGTCTGGAAAAGGTCAGTAACAAAGAGGATCGGAGTTCAGGAGATGCTCCTTGTTTGTACGTGTGGAGACAAGATTAATTCTTACCTTGGTTTTGTGCACAAATGGGGCTTGCACGTGCAGATGGGATTCCCTGCACAATCACAGTGCAGTAAATCACAGCTAGGGCCCTGCATCCACAGGAACTATCTTTGTCTTGGAAGCATGGCACTCCAAGTTAATATTTGAACTTTATGTATTCGCCTCAGGGTAGCTTTCCTGAAATGTCTTTAATTTAAATCCCAGAGACCATCTGGTTTCTTTGACATGATAAATATACCTACTAATGGCTGAGCTTTAAAAACCAAAAAATGTCAAGGAATGTATACAATGCTATTTGATACATGTACATGAGATAGTTTGTAATTTTGGCATGAAATATTACTTAGTTTATAGATAGCATATTTTTTTGTGCCCAAGGTTTAAGTGTTCAGCTCCTAAATTCTTTTTTCTGTCATTTTAAGTATCTAGGTTTCTTATCAGTGAGTGCAATGTAAGACTTCTCTTTTCCTGCAGTACCTGCACTAAATTTCTCTTGGTAAATGACCTTTAGCTGTTTGGTACCAGCAGGTTAACTTCAAACTCTCATAAGGTCTAAACTTCACAATGCACAACACTTCAAGGGTGCCAGTGTTTTGTTTCCATTATTATTTCCCCTATTTCAGCAGAGCTGAATTTGTGGAGGTTCCTGTGGGAATCATTAACAAAAATTTACATGATGTAGACAACAGGCCTCTTTGAGTCAAAGTTTTTGGCATGTTATTTGTAATAATAGTGAGAGACAAAGCTTAAGAATTCCAGAGTAAATGAATACATTCGTAGTTTGGGGTTTTTTTTCAATGAAAAATTCAAAATTAATCCTTTTTGCCTTACCTTCCTACTTTCATGATATTTTTTTCGTCTTGTCATTGATCTAGGTTTTTCTGTTTTACATTTCCTTCAACTCAATTTTTTTTTCCCCCCAAAATAAACGGCTTCTAAACAATTCCTGTGAAAAGCAATTTCTGAATCCTCTCTAAGACCACTCCACAGTGTTGGAAACTAGAGGCTATCATTAACATAAAGGGGAGTCATTCTTCTAATTTTGAAGTTTGCTAAGTGGAATAATTAGAATGTGTCTCGGGGCACCAAGAGAGTTGTACCTTCCATTTGACGGAGTGCCTTAGGTTTTTTTACCCCAGCATTTAACTGAAGCGTTCTGCTCTGCAGCTTTACATCCCACATCTCCCTTCTCTCCCGTGTCCTGCAGGATCTGGCTCTCCCAGCTTCACCAACGTGCAGACCGCGCTGTACCAGCCCCAGCCCCAGCAGCCACAACCTCAGCCCTACGGGCAGTGCATCACTGACAACGGGGTGGTCTACTCTGTGGGGATGCAGTGGCTGAAGACACAGGGCAGCCAGCAAATGCTCTGCACCTGCCTGGGCAACGGAGTCAGCTGCCAGGAGATAGGTATGACTTTGTGTTTGGAGCCTGTCCAGCCCAGTGAGGGCTTTAGGACTGCCCCGTGGCTTAATTTTGAAGTAGACTCTTTTGTGTGTGTATTAGAAATGTCATCTGAGGAAATACTGGAGAAAGGTGCAAGGGGTGAAGGAATGGTTGGTTTGGTTATCTAAAGCCTGGTTCTCTGGGGCAGTAATGTTTCCCATTGAGTTATATATAACTTTCTGAGGGAAAACAGAGCCCTTGGGGAGCAGCATTAATAACTTTATTCAAATGGAGCTGCAATAATATATGTTCAGAAAAGAATGTAAAAGAATGACACAGCTGTGGGGTTAAGTTGTCTGTTGGTGTGTGTTGGCCCGGGTCCATGGCAGTCAGTGTGGGTTCCCAGCAGCCAGTGACTTGGCCTAGAGGGGCTGTTGCTGTTTTAGAGCCCTGAGATTTGGGGATTACTTTAAACCAGAGTCTAATGCTGTGATTTGCTTGTTTTAAAGCTGTGACCCAGACATATGGTGGCAATTCTGATGGAGAGCCCTGTGTTCTGCCTTTCACCTACGATGGAAGGACCTTCTATTCCTGCACCACTGAAGGCCGCACAGATGGGCACCTCTGGTGCAGCACCACTTCCAACTTCGAGCAGGACAGGAGATACTCCTTCTGTACCGAGCAGAATGGTAAGTGCTTCTCACAGGATCTTCACATGCACGTAACCCTTGTGTCGAGATGGAGGAAGGAGCAGAGAAAACAGGAACAGGCTGCCTGACCCATTCCAGCAGTCTGGAGGGACTCTGTGCATGCCTCACAGCAGGGCAGTGCTGTGAATGAAGGGCTGCCTGGTGACAGAGCACTTGGGTGCTCTTGGCATCTTTGGAGGGTGCTCAGGGTGCTACAGATGTACCTTTTGAGTCCTGTTCTCTCTTCTCTGAGCTGACCTTAGAATGGGAGTACCTGGTCAGGGTGGAGCTTTGGTCTAAAGGACTTTGGCTTTGTTTGAATGACTTGCTTAGGGCAATGCCCATATTAGGCTGTGAAGAGGAGGATATCCATGGAGTACAGTTGTGCAGTCCTGTTACTCCCTCCATCCTGGCTATCTAGCCAGGCTGCCATATATAGCAGTGATCTTAATGTGATTTGTGGTCTCTGATCAAGAGCTGGGGCATGACTAATGCAGCAGCATTCCCTCTTGTCTGTGCATGGTCAGTGTTCCTTTCCCAACACAGATCTACCTG